CAGAACCAGCCCACGGTTGGCTGTTAAGAGCACTCTGTGGTGCTGCTGGGCTGTGCCTTGGAGCTTCGCAGCAATCTGGGGGTCTGCTTTCTGCTGGGAGCAGGTACCTTGCTGTTAGGCAGGTTATGAGATGCGCAGAGTGGGCGCAGGGCTGCCCTGAGTTGGTCTGCTCCTGTGCCTCGTGTTTCATTGGGAGGCGATGGGGGAGAGTTGGAAGTAAGAAAGGCAGAGGGAAGATGGGCTGGGCACCATTGCAGCTGCCCAGCAGCTCCTCAGAATCCACGGCTGGGTTTCCTCTGATCAGATGCTCCTTCTTGTAGCTCCAAGAGGCTTTGCTGTAGCCTGGAGGCAAAGGGCAAAGGAGAACCTGTCATGGCGGTGTCTGTGAGGACAGATACTTCTCAGCTTAATCTTGACCCAAAGAACCTGCAAGCCACAGGGAACAGGAAATAGCAGGAGAATGGCCAGAAGGGACATCAGGGGCTGTGAGCCCTGACCAGGCAAAGGAACACTCCGTTCCCAGGGCTGGGAGCTGCAGGCTCCCTGTCCAACCACCCTCCCCAGCCATAACTGGGAGAGCCCCAGGGTGCTGCTGCCACGCTCCTCACCCTCCTGTGGCCTGGCCCAGGCTCAGAGTGAGTACAGATTCCCCCTTGTTTCAGCAAGAAAATAGAGGCACAGAGAGCACCACAGTCCCTCCTCTGTTATCCAGCTGGCTGGGCTGAAGCAGGCGGGCACGGGGCTCTGTGCAAAGATCCTGCTCTTTTTGCCCTGGAGGTGAGCCCTCTAACAGGCTTCCACGCTTCTGGAGACATTCTAACACACAAAACATTGAGCTTCCTGAAGCAGAGAAGCCAGCCCTGGAGGGCACATCTGGAGGGAAGTGGCTGTGACAGTCCTCCCACAAATGCAATAATGGCACCACAAGTACAAACCTGGTGATGAGGCTGTGTGTACAAATATGGGATAAAAATGTTTTCTGAGCCAAAGTGTCCCATGTGTCGTGAGGTGAGGGCTGGGTCTTGGGTGCAGGGTGGTGGCTCAGACCCAGCAGGAAAGTTTTTCGCAAAGCAAAAGGCATGTGGAAGCCTCTAAGGCAGGTGGAGACTGCACATGAGGCTTTATTATCTTCTGATCCCATTTTTTGATACTTTGGGCAAAATTGCTGCTGCTGAGTCCTTGTCAGCTAAAGCCATCACAGAGCCTTTGTAGGAAACAGGCCTGGGCTGCTTCACGGGGCAGTGAGCAGGGAGGGGAAGGGATGGCTGTCCCTTAGCAGGGCTGTCACTGCCCAAGTGCACAGGGTGCTATGAAGCCTGAGGGCATCCTGTGCTCCCTACCTTCGTCCTGGGTGAGCTGCCCTACCTGAACAGGTTCTGCAAGGAGGGACACAAACCCAAGCATCATCAGGTGTGTTCTCTGCGCTAAAGCCTCAGCAGCTGCCTTCCCTTTTCCAGGAATCCAAAAGCAAAGCTGAGCATAGCTTACAGCTGCATTTTCAGGCCAGGAATTTGCTGGGCTGGCTGCCCAGGTGAGGATCTCGCTGGACGGCAGGGCCTGGAGGTGAGCAGTGCTTGCCATCTGCTGGACAGCTTCTCCACTGCAGGGCAGCCGCTGCAGCTTCGCGTTCAACCCTAGGCTGAGCGCGTCACATGCATTGCCTGTGCAGGGGTGCAAAAGGCTGCTCTCCCCCAGGGCAGGAGACAGCTTTGCTTCTGTTGTAAATCAGGACGTGATCATTGAGAGAAGTTTTCTGTATGACTTGGGGCGTGCAGGGTGGTGTGTGGGACCGCGTGACAGCAGACGCCTGGAGAGGTCAGGTCCCGGCTATCCCAGCGCTGGCGCTCAGCTGGTTTTCTGCAGTTTCTCTGACCCTCAGCTGCTGATCCTAAACCTGACCCTGAGTGCTACAGCTGCAGGGCAAACCAGCCCAGCCCCGGCAGGTTGGTGCCTGGTGCTCAGGGAAACCGGGACACATCCACATGGCTGTAATTTGGCAAAGGCAGCCTGGCGTTGGAGGTGCTTCCAATGCCTGTGGGGCTACATCCCAACACAGCAGCCCGCTCTCCAGGTTCCTGGTCTCAAAAGGAGGCTTTTCTAGGTGCCCTGCATGTACCCTGGGAAATGGCAGAAACTGCATTTCCTCCTTGCTGTGTGTTGAGAAATAGTTGGTGTTTTTCTGCTGACATTTACCCCAAATATTCATATTCATATTGCGGTAAATGTCAGCAGATATCCTGATATAGAAATTCCAGATCAAGGCTTTCGGTGCAGATTCACAGGAGCACCTTACAGCCCTGAAAGAGCAGCTGGCCCAGGAATTCCAACACGGGCAGTTCCTGCATGCAGTCAGGATCCGTGCGGGCTCACGGTCCGTCCAGCCCAGCAGCGATGCCTCCAGACGTGGGCGCTGCAGATCTCTTGAAGAGAAAGGCAGCTCTTCCTGTTGACTCCGTTGACTGCAAACAGCCTCCGGCCATTCTCATTTGACAGATTTTCTCGAGCCTGTTACTTTGAAATCCGTGCCCTGGCTCAGACACATGGGAATTTCCTTGTGATCCCCACGTCCCTCTGCAAGATCTCATCTGAGATCTCATCTGAGATCTTGCTTGTCTTTCTCAGGGCTGCAGCCACCGATTACCCCAATCCTTCTCCTGTTCCCAGCTGATCTGCTCCCAGTTTGAACCTGCAGTGGTGATGGGGCAGCTCCCAGGGGACCCTTGGTGAAACTCCACAAGTGAGTCAGAGTGGGGGAGCAGGCTGCCTCGGGGCTAAGAAAAGACTTCCTCCTGCATCCCAAAGCTCTTCTTGTAGTGAGTCCAAAGACACCACGTGTGGTTTCTATTGAAAGCTGAAACACCATACGGCAGAGGTTTTACAGACTCCATAAATAGCTGCTGTTTAGGATGTATGTTATGGAGGAGGCTTCAGAAATCAAAATATTTAGAGATTTGCATTATTTGTCTTGGCAGGAAGGAGCAACCAAGACTGAAATACAAAATCATCCTTCAAGGAAGGAATGGAGTTGGGGAAAACAGTAAAATGTGGGAATAACAGGTGTCAAAACCTCCAAGAATTCCCTCTCAATGAATGAGAGCAAGAAACACAGCCCAGTACATCTCACAGCAGCAAGAATTCATTCAAAACGCCTAGGCTCATGTATACTTCTGATAGAAAACACTGATTTTCAAAAGGAATCGTGACATTTCCATCAATATCATTTGAATATTGCAGGAACATTCAGAACACTCAGCTAAAATCAGCTCCAAGCTGGGCTGTGTCACTGTGAGCTGCATGATGTCTCCAGCTCATCCTCCATCCTGTTCCCTTTTCTATTTTGTTCTGGTCCCCATGTGGAGCTGTGCAACGGGAACACTCGGATTGGCCTGAATGGTGAACGTGTGTAGATGGTGGGTGTGAAAGCACTGGTGGAAATTACGGGAGCAGGGCTATGAGAGTGGGAAGTGTTGGTGGAGCATAGGTTAGCAGGTCAGTGTGACTCCAGAGTGTCACAGTTTTCTCATTGTCGTCTCATTTCAACTCATCTCATCTCACCATGTGGTTTCCCAGCCTGCCACTTGGTCAAATCTGTCTCCAAGCCTGTTTTCAGCACCCCCAGCCTCAATCTGCTGTCTACTGCTGCAGGAAAGTGAGTCAGCTTGGTCTGGTACCTAGGGCATGTCAGAGCATCCCATGTGGCATCTTTGGTGGCACATCCGTCAGTCATACGTGGCCAGGTTCACGGGGACATGGATGTGTGAGGGGCCTGCCAAGTCCACACAGCTCCTGCTTGTGCTTCACCCACCCCTTCCCCAGCATCCCTGAGCAGAAGTGCAGGATGACAGCAATCCCAGCAAAGGGGAAAGAGAGATACAGAGAAATAAAGGGATATGTCAGGGCCTGTACCGCTGCAAAGGCAAATCTGTGAGGCTGCACAGGGACTGCAGGATGTGGGCTGGGTTGGAGCAGGGAAGCACCCACATGTGGTTTTACCCTGGCCCAGTTTTGCTGATGCTTAGTAACACAGTGTTTTAGTGAAGCAAAAGGCTCTTGGCATGAGAGATCTTTCAGTGCCCTCTATCCCACTCCTTCTGAAAGGTCTGACTCACTAAGTTCTGTCGGTTGAGTTGTGGTGATGGTGATACCCTGGAGCACTTAAGAGCCTTGGGTCTAGAATAAGCTCTTCACCTGGTGCAGGGAATCTTTTCACTTCACTCATTGAGTCCCTCCTCTGGACCTCTACAAGGCCACCGTGTTGGGCAGTGGTTTCTCATGTCTAAATGTTCCTCCCCCACAGAGGAGCCCAGTGGCTGCAGCTGTGGTTGTTCAGCAGCCACAAACTGCGCCAGCACCAGCAATACCTTGCTCTTGCTCTTTCTCTGCATGCATGAGGTGTCATCCGTAAGCCTTTGCCTGGAGGTCAGCTGAGCCCTTCTGTGGGGATGTAACGTTTCGGAGAAGAGCTGCAGTGACACTGCTCCTGTCCTAAACGGCACCAGCTGAGCCAGCAAATCTCTTTTGTATGTCTATATGGCTGCTGGGATAATGCCAGGAGGATGTCAGTTCTACATCACTGGAACAAAATAATACCATAAGCCAAACTCCACCATACCAACATCCTAGTGAGCTTCTAAAACTCTTGGTGAAGGCTAGCAGTCAATTCTTGCATCCATGGATAACACAGTAGTATTTAAGCTCCATGGCATTTGTGGAAGTGCAATGTAGAAACAGAACCAGTTCCCTAATGAGTTGCTGCAAGCGATGGGACGGAGTTGGGAAGGACAGCTGAGGAGCCCGGACTTAGGACAGCACTGTGCTCTGCGTGGTTATGTGCTGGTGATGTCCTGGTTGCATGAAGAAAGCCCCATCACTCTGGGCAGTGCTGCAAGCAGGACACAGTGGCCGTGTGCCTCGCTGACCTGCTGAGCAGGCAGCCAGCACAGCTGGTGTGACCCATGGCTCTTCCTGCTGCCATGGCTGCAGAGTCCACTGCTCTGTATTTCTGTGATGCAGATATTCTAGATGTGTGTGCCAGCCATGCTCATTCCCTGTTGTCATGTGGCTTCTAGGCAAAATCTCATGAAACACTACTTCTAGGTTTTTGACTTCTAGGTTTTGGTCTGAGGAAAAAAAAAAAGAAGAGTTGGTCATATCCTGTTCCCTCTTATTTCAGAGTATCTTGTCATGGCATCACTTGCCACATCCGGGCACTACTGCCCGTCAGGGCTCTGGGTACTTCCCTTCACAGGATGGTGTAGGACTCCACACTCTTTGTACACACATAGAATTTCTTGACACAGCACTTCTTCCATTGTATCATGCTGTCTTTCTGCAGAATTTCATCATGTTTCCAGCCTTGTGCACCTTTATAGAGTGAGCTGAACCCAGGGATCCCACATCAGGCCCAGTGAAGGACCTGTGCAGCAGTCTAGCCTGACTCCTACAATTAATCTCCACCAAACAGGAACATGAAGTCCTCCACAGCTGCCATTGCTGTTCTCATTGTGGCTGCTCTCTGCTACCAGGTCTCCTCAAGTCCACGTGAGTGCAAGCTCCCCACTCTGTAGGAACTCTCTTCTTGCTCTTTCTGCTGCACAAGTCCCAGTAATTCTTGTTGGCTCTCTCTTCTGAGCACCTGCTGTAAGAAAGGAAAGGCACATCTTGCTGCTCTTTGCTTTGCTGAGGGAAGGGTGACTGGTGGTAGACTGTGGTGGGAGCAGCACCTTCTTCAGTGTGGCCCTTCAGGTCCTGCAAGCCTGCTTCTCCCTGCTGGCACTGCTCCTGGTCTGGCTTTAATCAGAAAACCTCTCTTCTCTCCCAGTTGCTGTCAGGCCCCGCGGACCCTGCTGCTACAATTTCTTAAACAAAGCGCTTCCCCCAAGCAAGGTGGTGATGTATGAGTACACAGGAAGCGGGTGCCCCTACCGTGGTGTGATGTGAGTATTTCTGCCCAGACCCCAGGGCTGCCCACTGAAAGGTGGCAGCACCAAGAAACCCCACATGGCATGGCAAAGGGCATAAGCCGGATGGGCTCTGCCACGTTAGGAGAATTACCTGGAAGTTTTGCAGGGGCCAATCTCACATCCCAAACAGCTGGCTTCTGGTCCTCCCTGTTATTTCTAAGCAGGTTACCTCCACCAAGATAGAGAGTCCCAGGCAGGACAGCGTGCTGGCTGGGGAAGGCGGCTGGGGGGGGGTGGCTTTCTCCTCTAAGCAGCAAGGACATCTATGATGATATTGAGCTCACCCCTGTGAGTCTGCAGAGCCGCCGTGCAGTTACAGAGGTGTCAGCTTGGTGGAGTCCCAATGGCAAGGAGCATGCAGTCGCCCAGCCCTGCTCTCCCTTTTCCTCCACCCATTAACTGTGTTTCCTTCTGCAGATTCACCACGGTTGAGAAGAAGACGTGCTGTGCCAAACCAGAAGAGAAGTGGGTTCAGGATATCCTGAACGTGGAGAAGCACAAGGACAGCAGCCAGTGAGCTGTGCTCCAATCCCTTCCAGCATCACAGCTGCAGCCCTCTCATGGGCACCTCCCATCACAGCCCTGTCACCTCCTTGCCCGTGCATTTGGCAGACTGCTTGCAGACTGTTTTACAGACTCTGTACATACTCTTATTTATTTACCTACTTAAGTGTATGCAAAAGCATTTCTACTTCTTGGGGACAAACCTGTCACTGTGATTTGTACCAGCTGTCTTTCGGTTGGCTTTGCGATATAAAAGCAAAGGAAAGCTGCCCTTCGTCCAGCTGTCTCTCTGTCAGGCAGGGCCAGGGCCCACAGGCCGCACCTGACCCCGTCGCTGCCCCATGGCTGCAGGCCACGCAGGGGCTGGGCAGCACCACCGGCATCCCCGCCACCGCAGGGCCTGCTGCCGCCGCGGCCGGCGGAGCCCCATCTCGTCCCACTGGGGTCGGGCCGTTTGTCCCGTTTTCCCCGCAGGCCTTCGCTTTCACTTTCACCCTCCGGGCAGGGAAGGCCGCAGCCCTCAGGGCCGCCCCGCTGGCGCCGCGCTCCGCCCACGGCCGCCGCTGCCCCGGCCGGGTGCATCGTCCAAGGCCACGCGCGGCGCTGCTGCCGGGCCGCGGCGCCCACCATGGCGCTGTCCGAAGCCCTGGAGCGGCTGCACGAGGAGGCCGTCTGCTCCATCTGCCTGGAGTACATGAGCGAGCCGGTCAGCGTCGACTGCGGGCACAACTTCTGCCGCGGCTGCATCGGGAAGCACTGCCAGGACAAGGGCTTGTGGAACGACGCGCCCTTCTCCTGCCCGCAGTGCCGGGCGCCCTGCCGCCGCAGCAGCCTGCGGCCCAACCGGCAGCTGGCCAACATCGTGGAGAGCATCCGGCAGCTGGGGCTGCGGGGCGGCGTGGGGACGGGAACGGGGGCGGAGAGTGGGAGCCCGCTTTGCCCCCTGCACGACGAGCGCCTCAAGCTGTTCTGCGAGGGGGACGAGCAGCCCATCTGCGTGGTGTGCCGGGAGTCCCAGCAGCACCGCTCGCACGCCGTCTATCCCATCGAGGAGGCCGCGCAGGTGTACAAGGTACGGGCACCCCTCTGCGAACGGCCCCGGGCACCGCTGTGGGTGAGAATGGCGGCAAAGCGAGTGGCAGCCACTGTGCTGCGGGTGCCGGGGCTGAGGGTGGACTTGCTGCCTCCTAATGCAAGGGGCACCGTGCCCCCGTCGGCCCGTGTGCGTGGGACAGCCTGGCTCCCTGCCCTGCAAACAGTCAGGGCGGTGGGGTGTGGAAATGCTGGCTCCCAAACACCATGTCCCAGCGTCGTGGGGGTACCCAAATGCCACGTCTCTGCGATGTGGGAGGCAGTTCGCTCGCTCTCTGAACTGAAATAGCGAGGAAAATAGGGAAAGACCCGAGCTGCTTGGAGGGGGTTAACGCTGTGAGCAGAGTGAAGAGAACAGCTGCTGGGAATGGGTGCCAGAGATGGCACTGCCTGGCACAGGGCCGTGTCCCCCTGCTGCATGCTGGCACCAGCAGCTGTGAGCTCAGGGGCTGGGCAGAGCATGCAGGGTGGGGAGGGCCGACCTCGCTTCTGCTGTTTTCAGGTCAAACTCCAGAAATCGCTGGAGCAACTTTCCAAGGAAGTGGAGGATATGAAGAAGCGTGAGTCAGAGGCGAAGATGAAAACCCAGGAGTGCAAGGCAGGTGCTCGGTTTGTCTGTGAAAGAATGAGCTTACATAACATCAGGAATTTAAAAAATCCGGAATGGTCTGGGGCTGTGAATCCAGGATGGGACATGTCCCATGTGCTGCTGCTGTAGGGAGGACCCTGCCAGGGAGCCTGAGCCATCATAGCTGGCAGAGCCACAAGCACGGCGCCGGAAACCAACATCAGTGAGTGTGGAAACTGCAGTGAATGCGATCCTGAGTAAATTAAAAAGCCCAGCTTGGGAAAAAAAAAGCAGCATTCCAGCTCCAAGGAAATTGTGGGGGCTTGTGTGCCAGTTCAACAAATAGATGCTTTCTGTTTGCGTTTTGCTTGAGTGAAAAGCAGGTGTGAGACACACAATCAGCTCTGCTCCAAAGCACTAGAGCTGAAATTGTTTTCATTACAAAAATACAAGCAAATTACTGCTCCTCTGCTTTACCCCAAGCAGCCCTGGGGGCAGAACAGCAGCAAAACAGAGGCAGTTTAGGCCTAGAAGGAAACATAACTGCAAAAAAGGAAATGAAACTTCTGGCTGGAGCTTTCCCTTGCTGACCTGATGATTAATCAGCTTTGGCAGGGAAAACAGGTTTCTCAGTGCTCTCCCAGTTATCTGTGTGGGCTGTCACTAGTGATGGAGTTTGGGGGTGCTGCAGTGCACCCACCATCCCCCTCAGGCACTGCGTTGTGACAGAGCTTTGTCCCACCCCCACCTGAGTCAAGGCCGTGGGGTCACCGCCAGGCTGCCCCGGCTTCTGTCCTGCTTAAGTAAAAAGGAAAAAATGTCCCCAGCGAGTGCTGGGCTTGCAGTCCTGGCTTATCAGGAGTTTGTGAGTCAGGTCTTCAGCATGCTTAGATGAAGAGGAAATGCACTTTGATTTCCTCTCATTTACCCTCTGGGCTTTGAGGCTTCCTGGTCCTAGTTAACCCCAGCATGTTTTTCTGCAGTTGGTTAACTTTTGGGCTTTAGGTTTTGAGCCAGATGCCAAATATTAAGTGTTGGGAAAAAATTTTCTCAAGCACTGCAGCCCCCACCTGTCACCACTCCTCTCATCTCCGTGTTCAGCGAGGATTCTCAGTGACCCAGGAAGTCCTGCCTGGTTTCTTCCAATCCCTACCCACCCCACCCCTGGGTGTTGTCACGTTTTGGCAGGATTGCAAAGCAGAGCTCACCCTGAGCCTGGCACGCAGGCAAGTTGATTTTATCTCCTGATAAAATCCCGCCCAAAACCCCACCTGACACCTGGTTACGTCTCCATAGACCCCTGTGCTGCACTCAGATATCTGTGGGCATCAGAGGTCCAGCTGGTCACGGCTGTGCTTCTGTTGGATGTCAAGAGGGAACTCTGGCTAGGTCAAACCACGGCATTTATCCCTTGGCTCTTCTTTTAAATAAACACAGACAAAAATGCAGCGGTTTCCTGCATGCTGGGCATAGCGCTGGGCTCTGACTCAGCTGGCTAACACTGCCTGCCTTCGCTGTGTGCATCTTTCCTATCACAAGGAGAAAGTGAAGAGAAAGCGGGAGACGATTGTGTGCGAGTTTGGGAAGCTGCATCAGCTGCTGGCTGATGAGGAGAAGCTGCTGCTTCAGAAGCTGGAGGAGGAGGAATCACAGATTCTGGTGATGATCTCTGAAAACCTGGCCAGGGTGACAGAGCAGAAGTGCTTGCTGGTTGAGCTGATCCGGGAGATAAAGGAGAAGATGCAGCAGCCGGTTGAGGAGCTGCTCAAGGTCAGGCTCTGCCACCAGCCCTCTCAATTGTCCCCAGCCTCAGCCCCAGGCCTCTGCTGTGTGGCCAGGTGGTTGGGGCCAGTCTGGAGTGACATACCCAGAATGGCTTTTCTCTTCTAGGACATGAGATGCATCCTGAGCAGGTGGGTACCTGTGCTCCTTCCACTTACAGTCCCAGCTGCCTCCTGGCTCTCAGTATCTCTGTCTCCCAGCCCAGTGTTCCACTTGTCCTCTAAAGACAGAGTGCCAAGGCTGGGGTCTGAAATTTAAGTGGCTGCAGAACCCTCCTCTTCCAGGGCCTCAGAACTGAGGTCTTGTCTGGCCTTGTGGGGTGTGAGATGTGAGATCTGTCCCCTCCTAAGGGCCGTGCTGCCAGGTTGGCCTGTCTCCTCCATTTCCCAGGCACCCCTACTTGGCAGTGGCTCTGCACATCCCTGAGATCCATTTCTTGTGCACCAGTTCACTCTGGATCAAAGGTCCCATCGCATTTACTACCAAGTAGTCATTCCTGGTGCTTTGTCATGGCTGAGGAGTTCAAGGGAGGGAATGCATCTGTGCAGCCAGGTGAAAGGCATCAGAAAGCTTCATGATGCTGCAGAAGAGTTGTGCAGTGGGCACTGAATATGGTCCCCAGTATTGCTCTCCTTTCAGGTGTGAAACAATGAAGTTTCAGGCCCCCAAACCTGTGTCTGTGAACTTGAAGGAGGACTACAGCATCCCAGAGCGCTGCATGGGTATAAGACACATGCTGAGGAAGTTCAAAGGTGAGGATCTGCTTCCAGCTCCCTGTGCGTGTGGTCATAGCCCCTGCCCTGGGACGTGGGGAAGTGTTGAGTGCATCCCTGACACACAGGAGGGCTGCTGGTTGGGGTGGGATCGTGGTTGAAGCCTTTGGCCCCCGCAGGCTCTGCAAGAGTCTGTGCAGGAGTCCATCCAGGTTCAGGCTCCTCTTTAATGACATGACTTCAGAGCAGACCCCGTTTCAGACCAGGTTTTTTTTGTTAGCACCAGTGCTGTGGGTTTTTTTTTTCCCTCTAACACTACACTGGAGTTAGAGAGTTTTCTTCTCAGATTTTGGATGACATTACCAGTTTGCTACAGGTGGGTTCAGGCTGGTTCCCATGGTTGGAGAGCTTTCTCCTTCTAGTCTCGGGTTGGGAGGGCATTGCTTACACACTCTTGTTTTCACCATTACTTATTAAGCTATACCCTGAATGCCAGGCTGCCCTGGTTGTTCCCATTCTGCAGCCACATGCCAACTTGCTTTGACATGGTTTACAGCTGAAATGATTTTTATGAATCACACTTCCCCAGGCCAGCAGCCCCACGTGGCATGCGAGGCATAAGGCGGTTACACACAGCTGGCAGCTGGGACTGGGGCTCTTCAGCATCTCAGTGACAGACTCACAAAGTCCTTTTGTCCTTCTCCCTTCTCTCCCACCAGTGGATGTGACTCTGGACCCTGAGACAGCTCACCTTGAGCTCACCCTGTCTGAGGACCGCAAGAGCGTGCGGCGTGGGAGCAGGAAGCTGTTCCTGATGTTTTTTGACAGCCCCAAGAGGTTCAGCTGTGTTCCCGTGGTGCTGGGGCTGCAGGCCTTCTTCTCGGGCCGCAGCTACTGGGAGGTGCAGGTGGGAGACAAGCCGGAGTGGGGCCTGGGGCTGTGCAAGGAGGCTGCCTGCCGGAAAGGAAACATCGTCTTTTCCCCCCAAAATGGCTACTGGGTGCTGCGGCTGCAGAACGGTGCCTATGAGGCCCTTACCTGCCCTGTCTCCTGCCTGACCCCGAGTGTCAGACCCCGGTGCATTGG